GCACCTCACAGTAGCAAACAGTAAATGACATTAAATTTCCGCTTCTTCATTGTTGCTGTTTGGTTTTTGTATATAGATCTTGTATTTACTAATGCTTCGTTAATTCTGGTAGCTTTTTTCTGGGGTCTGTCAGAATTTTCTATTTATGATTATGTAATCAGCAAATGAAATTTTACTTCATCTTCTCCAGTCTGAATCACTGGTTTTGTTTGCCCTTTTTGTTTTGGTCACACTTGCTAGAACTTCCAATTTAGTGTTGACTTATCTCAGAAGGGAGAGTAAATCTAGTCCTTTTCCTCTATCTTGACTGGAAGTATAAGTTTCCTTGACCTTTACTTTCCAGAGAAAATCATGTAACCATAATTTTTTTTATAGTCTTTAAAATGATTTTTTAAAATGAAGCTAAGTTTTTAGGATGACAAGTCTAGATTGCTTTGCTTCATTTGCTATTTTGTCCAACAAATTTTAAACAAGTTATTGCCTTTTTTCTCATGTAAATACTAAGTGAAGCTTCAATGTAATTGAGAGTTTCAGGGCATCACCCAATCTTTTCAAAGCAAGACACCAGAAAGTAAGTAGGCTTAATTAAACTTTGGCTTTAAAGGTAAACTAACTAAAAGTGCCCACATTAGCTATTACAGTTAGCCTTTCTGATTTATCCAATATTATTCTTTATAGCTGCAAATTTTCTATGTTCAATGAAATACATATTCTCTTATAAGTCTGTACAGTAAATTGAAGTTTCTCCTTATTTTTTACTGGGTTGTCTTTGCTTCCATTTACAGTAAACCTCAAGCCATGTGTATTTAAGATTTGATATCTTATTTTGGTGCCATAAGTGCTATAAAACATTAAAACAGATTTATAAGCCTATGAAAGCATAAGTATATTTTCTATTCTCATCTTTGAATGGTTGATTTTGTGTCTTACTGTGGAGTTGGGTGGCTATACACATTATGTACTTTATTTGAGAAAATAACATTCACCGAAGGTCATATATAATATAGATTGGTTTATTAAAACTTTTTTGAATTTAAAAAAACTACTTCAAACATGACTTTTAGACCATATTTGTAGAAACTTTTTACCGTGATCTCATACAAAACCTGTATGTTATGGCTTACAAGGACAATTGCTTTTTTTCTTTTCTTCTAGATTTAGAAATTTGTGCTAGTTTATAGGGAAGCTTTTTGCTTGCTTTTAAGTACCGAAATTAAAGTTTATTTTATAATTATTCCCACACTCTAATCTTCTTGAATTTCTTGTTGATTTTTTTTATGTTCCATGGTGGCTAGAATTAAATTAGAGACTATATAACCTTGTGGTTTGTATTGCGTAATATTTGTTCTTGAGTGAGCACATGGACAAGCTGAAAGCGCAATAAAATACCTTGTTATTTTTATTTGTATACTTAAGAAATTGGAGATTTTGCTACCCTTGTTTGCTGTTATTCTTTAGTGAATTGTCTTTTCAAAGCTTTACTTTGGAGTCTTGGTGTACGAGGTCCGAGTTGGGCTGCTAAATGCAAGGTCAACAGTTCTAAGCCACTAGCCACTCTGGGGAAGAAAGGGCTTTCTACTTCTGAAAAAAGAGTTACAACTTTGGAAATTCACAGGGGCAATTCTGCCCTGCTCTGTAGGGTCTCTATGAGTTGGCATTGACTCTGGCAATGATAGTGACAGCCTTGCTTTGGGGTTTTGTTTGTTTTTGTTTTCCTCTCGCTTTTTCTCTTCTGTTTGTTGCATTTTTATACATTTATATTTCATCAAATGTTGAAATTTTTCCATTGAGTGTCAATTTTATTTTTTTACTACCAGTTTCCCCTTCTGCTGCACGGTGTATTTGGTAGGCTTGCTTTTGAAAGCCTTGGCTAAAATAGTTGCCAGTATTCTGGGTAGAGTTGAAACTTGATTTGATACAATGAAGAAATGTAAATTGACAATGAGATCCATTCATCAGGAGCTGAGAGTACTGGGCCAGAGATAGAAATATTTTGTTGCAGTTGATAGTTGAAAGGATAGTACTAAATGAGATACCCTAGGGAGAAGAGATTAGAATGAAAAAGAAAGTGGGGACAGGGTGTAGAGCTAGAGGAAGAATTGGACTGAGGTTGAAAGTTACCCTCCCTTTAGTGGAGGGATTGGTAAGACTGCTTGCATGTTAGAATTACCTGGGGAAACTTTTAAAAAAATAAGAATTGAAACCCAGACTTCACTCTACTCTCTGTTCATAGTGGTATTTTGATATTCCTAAGTGATTTTAATGTGAAGACAAGGTTTAGAACCACTGCTTTGAATATATTGGTTTATAATAATTAATTGGGTCTTAATGGATGCATCACAATCACCCAATGGGCTTAATAAAACACAGATTGCTGGACCCCATCCCCCACGTTTGATTTAGTAGATCTGGAGTGGTGCCTGGGAATGTACATTTCTAACAAGTTTTCAGATGACTTTGAGAATCACAGTGGAAGGAAAGGACGTATGTGCATGCAAGTGAATTTGTAGGCTTCCTCCTGGAAATTTTATGGAGCCTCCTCGTGAAGATATGAACAAATTGCTCATCCACCAAGTCATAAGTGGTGGTATTAATAGAAGTCCAAGATTAGAGGAGTGGGAGGTGTTACTAGCCATTATAGTGGTTGGGTTTTTTTTTTGTTTGCTTTGGTTTTTTTTTACTTTTCTTCTTCTTCTCTCTTTATTGTTTGTTTCTTTTTTAACATTTTATTAGGGGCTCATACAACTGTTATCCCAATCCATACACACATCAATTGTGTAAAGTGCATTTGTACATCGTTTCTCAAAACATTTTCTCTCCACTTAAACCCCCGACATTAGGTCCTCATTTTTCCCCTCCCTCCCCGCTCCCCCCTCCCTCATCAGCCCTTGATAGTTTATAAATGGGTATTTTGTCATATCTTGCCCTGTCCGACGTCTCCCTTCACCCACTTTACGGTTGTCTGTCCCCCAGGGAGAAGGTCACACACAGTTCCATGTAATCGGTTCCCTCTTTCCTACCCATTCTCCCTTTACCCTCCCTGTTTTGCCACTCACACCACTGGTCCTATAGGGCTCATCCGTCCTGGATTCCCTGTATTTTCAGTTCCTATCTGTACCAGTGTACCTCCTCTGGTCTAGCCAGCCTTGCAAGGTCGAATTCGAGTCATGGTAGTGGGAGCGGGGAGGAAACATTTAGGAACAGGAGGAGAGTTGTATTTCTCATCCATTATATTGGTTGAACGAATAAGTTGACTTTGATTTATCATTTTATTTTTATCATTTGAGGAAAAATATTTTGATCTTAATATTGTCAACTAGTGTATTATTTTAATAGATGGTCTGATGACGTAATGGTTGTGTTGAGCTGATAGTTCGAATCCACAAGCCGTTCTGTAGAGAAAGATGAGGCTTTCTACTCCCTTTAGGAGTTACAGTCTCAAACTGTTTACTAGTGTAGTTTTAATTCTTTAGGCTGTAAATGATTCATTTTTATTGTTAACTCACGCAAGTGTGGTTTTTGTAAGAATGAGCATGGAGTGCTCAATGGTAATCCAGTTTTCTAGTGAGAGGGACCAGCATAATGTAGTGAACTAAATCAGCTTTGATTTCAAGTCCTGTCCCATTACCTCTGAACATAAATTTCCTCCTGTAAGCTTGAGGTGCTGACTGTATCAGAAGTTATTGGCTGGAATTATACCCAAAACCATTGCCATTGAGTCTGTTTTGATTTAGAGTGGCCCTAGGCCAGAGTAGAACCGCCATAGGGTTTCCAAGCTGTCATCTTTGTGGTAGCAGACTGCCACATTTTCCTCCCACGAAGCTGCTGGTGTGTTTAAATGCCTTGCCATTCTCAGTAACTGACCATTTAACCACTGCACCACTCACACACTGCCATTGAGTCCACGCCAACTCATAGTGACTATGAGACAGGGTAGAACTGCCCTTCTGAGTTTCCCAGACTGTAACTCTATCAGAGGAGAAAGTCCGGTCTTTCTCCATTGCATTCCCGAACGCACACCGCACACCGTGGCTCCTTAAATAGGGTAACAGATGAGAAAATACTTGATACATTCTAGGTAACTACATAGTGAATGTAACAATTACTGTGCATTATTTCAGCATGTAATGCTGAGTCTGCAACTGATAGATGTTAAACCTCCCTCATTAGATAAAATGTTTCTTTTTCTTATGGTGGGGTCAGTTGAGCACTCACTTGGTAATCGAAAGGTTGCAGATTCAGGCCTACCTAGAGGTGCCTTAGAAGAAAGACCTGGAGAGGCACTTTTGGCACAGTTTTACTTTGAACAGTGACATCACCAGAAGTCTAAATCATTCCACAGTAATTGGCTTGTGCAAGAATTCTTTAACTTTGCCTTTTGCGTGTTACTACCTATTCTTTACTATGTTTACTGCTGTGCCTTATTTTTTTCAATGCCTTTTAGCTATTGATTTCTGTGGTATAACTTACCACGGTTTTCTCCCGCTTTCACCTTTAACCCCACAAAGAACCTTAAGCTGATTTGTGTACAGTCATCTTGACATAAATTGAGAGCTTATTTGTGCTTTTCTCACCATGTTTATTAATAGCTGCTGTAGGGTTTCCTTAGCTACAAATCTTTATGGAAGCAGACTACCTACCACATCTATTGCTCTATCAGGGCTCCTATTGAATTGTATTTATTAAGTATAAAGATAATCTCCAAAGATTGGCTGTATTATACTCCTACTTGAACTATTCATCGGGTGTGAATTTTCCTCAGTCTCTGTGATATAGTTAAATAGTTACAAACCATAAACAGCTAGTATTTATGGCAATATATTGCACGTTAAACAACTAGTATTTATGGCAATATATTGCACGTTATTAAGATTTATTTTGGCATGTACTGGCTGTTTGATTTTGACAGTTATAAACAGGCATATGAACTTATCATTAATAAAGAATTTTTGAAGACTTCTTAAAGTTGGATTCTAATTTTTCTTATGTTCATCTTAAAGACTGGTTTTAAGGGGCGTGGCAGGAGGTTTTGGACTCGATGAGTTTCCACCGAAATGTCGGAGAAGTCAGGCCAGAGCACGAAAGCAAAAGATGGGAAAAAGTATGCAACACTCAGTTTATTTAATACGTACAAGGGCAAATCTTTAGAAACTCAGAAAACCACAGGTGAGTAAAATCAAGTGGTATTTGTTTTTCATCTTTTACGATTTTGTTTTATAAATGTTATTTCACAAATAAATGGTATATCAGAACTGCTGCCATTACTTGGATTTCATTTTTCTCTGTTGTCATATAGTAGAAAATATGTTTAAATGTTGTCATTCCACAAGGAAATTTAGTTCATGGGGTTGGTAGGCATAGAACTACATATTTGTGGGTATATACCATCATTTTTTTATACCATCATTTTTTGTTACATAGAAAAATCCTGTGTTTTTCTATATAGTCGCCTTGAACCTACTATGTATGATAAAAGTGAAAACTATCACATTTAATACATTGGTAGTATTCATTATGAGCATAAACTCATTTTGTTCTTTAATATTCTAAGATTGAGTTTGAAATAGATTGCTGGTGGGGTTTTTTCTAAAACCAGGGTTGTCTCTATTTTATTTTTCATAGTGGATTGGGTTACTGTTAATTTTTAAAGCATCAGTTCAATACTTGATGGTTTATTTTAATGTCTATATTGGGCTTTTTCTTAATTATAGCTTAGTTCGGATTTCTTAAAATAATTAAGAAATAATAGTTTGAGAATGCTGTCATTCCTGTTTTCTATATTACCTGAAGAATAAAATGGGCAATATAATAGGTATTCATAGAAAGTTGATGTTATTGATCTTCAGTTGCAGCTCGACATGGATTACAGAGTCTTGGAAAAGTTGGTATTTCACGGCGTATGCCCCCACCTGCTAATCTCCCAAGCCTCAAAGCAGAAAATAAAGGCAATGATCCTAATGTGAATATTGTACCTAAAGATGGCACAGGATGGGCATCAAAACAGGACCAGCATGAAGAAGAAAAGTGAGTCAAAGCTTATTAAAGAATAAAATAATTTCCTTTTTTTATCATTTCCTTTTCTACACAGTTGAGTACCTGCTACATACTAGACATTGTGCTGTGTATATTTGGTAGCCAGTGTCCTTTAGAAGAGTAAATGTCCTCAAGTAGATAGGTTGACACCTTGACTGTAACAATGGGCTCACGCATAGGAAAGTTGTGAAACTGGCCCAGGACCAGACAGTGTTTCATTCTGTTGAGCATTAGGTTGTTGTGGGTAGGAACCAACTCAACAACACCTAACAACAACAATGTCCTTTACAGTCTTTGAGTGTATACCCAAGTTGTGATTAGTTTGGTTTGGTCCAGAATTGCACCAGTAATCAAGGAAGAGCAGTTAACAGAATTCTTTATTAACCATTCTTGTCATAGCTTGCTTCACCCCTCTCACATTCACAAACCAGACATTCTCTCTAACACAATGAAAAGTTGTCATTGAGCTCCAAACTTTTTAAATCTGTAGGTTCACTATTGTATTTCTAGTTTTGAAACTATATGTGATATATAATAAGTATTCAAGTAATATATATTGAGTGGCTAGAGAGTTAGCAAGAAAGCTGGGATAGGAGACTGTTCCTCTTCATAATTCATTGAGAAAATATTTACCTTAATGCCATCTATGTGCCAACTATTGAGCTCGGCTCCACAAATGCCAGTGTTCCCGTTAGGGGAGCTTTCTTTATGTAATAAACTGTGCAAAGAAGTCTTCTTCTAAAGATTTTCTGTTTGTGTTTGTTGTACAAATATTTAATAATAGCAAGTAAGTGGTGGCTATTAATGCAGTCTCTTCATTCCCTTAACTGGTAAGCATAATTTCAGTACAAAGATTGAATAAAACTGTGGGCCTTTTTAAACGTCTTTTTCTGACTGTATGAATCAGGCAGGTTGCTGTTAACCGCTTTGACTAACAATATTAAGTACAATGGTGAAGCTATTGACTGCACAATTGAGAGCTTGTGTAGCCTTATTAGCCCCTGGCTAACTCCACCAGTCCAGACTGTATGTATGCACATACTGTTTCTTTCATTATAAATGTTCACTTGGTTCAAAACGGTTTTCTGGTAGTTGTGTTCCATGGTTTTATTTGGTGGTCATTATTCAAAAATAGAGATGAACAGAGACTAAAATAGCCATAAATCATTTCAAGAAATATTATAGGCAGGATATATATTATTGGTTGTGGGGTTATTAGTATATATGTAGCCAAAATAATTTATGCACAAATTTAAATTTATTTTATTTCAACATTTACTGTCTGAAATAATGGATTCACATTTTTTTAAAGAACACCAGAAGTGCCACCAGCCCAGCCAAAACCTGGGGTTGCAGCTCCCCCAGAAGTAGCACCTGCTCCTAAATCATGGGCCAGTAACAAGCAAGGTGGGCAAGGAGATGGTAAGTGGACATTAGCTGGGGAAACTAGTTAGGCTTGATGCTTACTGAACAGCCATGTAGGAGACAAGGAGTGGGTCTGTCCTGTAGTTGCTTGGCAGGGTGCGAGAGTCATCTTGTCAGAGGACATACTTGGGCCTTAAGAAGAGGTGTTTTGGAATAATTAAGTTTCAGTGCCAAGGCCCATGTATGAGATAATAAAATAAGTTTTTTTAAGAATCACCCAACATTATAATATCTTTAGCCCTACATGTCAGGTAAAGCCATTGTGCCTTCAACTCATTGTTATGAAGGTACCAAGGCATTTTGTATATTGTCAGAAACCATATTAATCTCGCATCTGTAACCCTAGCCCTCCTGTTTCAAACATGTGACCCACAATTTCTTGCCCTCTTCCCAAAGACTGATGGATACTCAACAGAATTTCGTTTTCCTTTTTACAAAACTGTAACCATTATAACTAGTCAATGGAAATTTTAGCTTGTATCATTAACCTATTAAAACCCGCCCTTTATGGTTAGAACTATTGTATATTTCAGGCAAACTAAATGAAACAACCCTGAATAAGTTTAGCTTGAACTTGATACATTTGTAGTTACTCAGCAAGATTATTTTTAACTGATTCTTGTGGTTATTAGCAAAAAATAATTTACTCTTAAGTAGAAATGTAGAATTTTGATAAAAGAAAAACAGAAGTGAGACTCCTCAATTATTTGATTATCTTAAATGAGCTCTGGAACAGATTCTAGCATATTCCTCCCTTAGATTTTTATCTCCTCTTGGCTGTTCATTAACTTTTCAAGGGGTCCCCTATACATTTAATATTTTTATTTTATTTTGTGTGTGTGTGTGTGTGTTTGTGTGCATATGAACAGATATCGTTGAATAATTCATCACAAAAAGTGTAGAGTCCTATCCTGGGAGGGTTATTTGCATTATCTTCTCTATTAAAATTACTGTAATGAATTTTTAAACATCTCTAGGAATCCAGGTGAATAGTCATTTTCAGCAAGAATTTCCCAGCCTGCAAGCAGCTGGGGATCAAGAAAAAAAAGAAAAAGAAGCAAATGATGACAACTATGGGCCTGGACCTAGTTTACGCCCACCAAGTAAGAGCATTTTATATCTAATACAAATAAAGAATGAGATTATATATCCATTTTATGTAGAATAATTTCTTGGTATTGCTGTGTATATATATGACTTGATAGTTTGAAAAGGCAGACTACCACCAGTCAAAGAACCTAACAGTCTTTTGGTTCATTTCTCTTTAGATGAATAAATCATCTTTTTGAAAAAATTTTGAAATAGTTATGTGGCTGATGAGGTCATATTAAAAGTAGATAATGTCAATTCTATTATTTTCTTGTTCAGTTGCATTTTCTCCAGATATATTAGTTATCTATTACTGCATAACAAACAACTTTAATTCCTCTATATGTGGCCCTTAGTAAGACTGCACACAATATGGATTCCTCAGACTAAGTGATGAGAAAGAGAAACATATATCCCTCACCCAGAATGGAAGCACCTGAATTCCTTTACTATTTAATTTTAGAAGAGATTTGCCATCTTCTATAAACCACACAGATCAATTCTGATACACTCTTGGCAATGACTATAGAATATGTGAATACCAGTAGGTTGAAGTTAATTGGAAGCTGTTTACCACACAAGAATTCCTTACAAAACCACTCTTATTACAACAAAGTGAAAGCAGACTGCATCCAAATTTCTAAAACATGGGTTTAGCAGCATGGGAAAAATTAGCCAGTGCCATGCTAGAAACTCGGTATTTCTCTTAGAAAACAGACTGTACATGGTGTATAGTAAACAAGTTTCTTGACCGGCTGAGTCAGAACTAGTGGTGTCTGGCTCAAGGATGGTGCCAGCTCCAGTGTTTTGAATGTCCACAGTCTTGGCAGTGATCCAATATTCTGCATCAGGATCCTGAAAGAACATACAGTACCTCTTCCAAATCTCCCATTCTAGGACGTTGACTCATAAATTTTCCTGTTCTGTTGACTGTTCCAATATACCTAAATTTTACATGTTAGGCTCAATTTCAATTTTACTGCATAGCTGTGACTGATCAGGTTCAAAATCCTGAAGCAAGCAAAGGAGACCATTACTATCAACCTTTCCAGGTTATAGAACTCCCTTTAACTTCCTTTAGGCAATCTCATATTTTACTTGAAACATGACCATCTGGTATATAAATCAATTGAGAGCAGATTTAATTTTCTTTTCCTATCTCAATATTTGCTTGTTCAATCCCCTGAAGTATGTGCTCTCTGCTTTGAAGGTCACTGCTCTCCTCTACCTAAATACCTTGAAAGCATCTTAGCAAAGGGCTCAAATTAGACTTTCACTATTTCATGGTTTGTCTGCTTAATTTTTTTTTTAATATGCCAAGCTCATTTTCATTCTGTTCCAATTTCATGTGTTTTCTCCTCTTTATACCAGACGTTGCTTGTTGGAGAGATGGTGGTAAGCCTGCTGGTTCTCCATCTGAGCAAGATGAAAAGACCCCTGGCCAGGATGACAGCACACCCGGGACATCAGAACAAAATGATATCCTCAAAGTGGTGGAGAAGAGGATAGCTTGTGGTCCTCCACAGGCCAAACTTAATGGACAGCAGCCTGCCCTTGCCTCCCAATATCGAGCCATGATGCCTTCTTACGTGAGTATTGTTAAAGAAGATAGCTAGTTAATAAGACTTACTTTAACCTGGAGTCCAAAGAGACATTGGGATGGGGAAGTATTCAGGTTTACGTTTCATTAGTTTTTGGTTGGAAGTGTGCCTTTTCTTTGGTTATGAATATATGCAACAAGACACAGTTCCTGTAACTTTATTTTAGATATATTTATGTTCAACTGTCATAATTTTTACTTGTTAATGATACAGCACATAGAACATCATATCACAACTTAATTTTTTTTATTGCAAAGCTTTCCTACATTCTATTGTGTATTTTAGACTACATTTAAAAGTGGTTTTCTGAGATGAGATGCATGGACTTCATCAAGCTTCCAAAGTATCATCTATAACACAAAAAAAGTTAAAAGTATCTGCTTTAACTTAAAAGTTTTTATTGTTAGCTGCCTTTCCTCCTAGTCTAACGTCGTATGACGTGTGTAGGCCAAAAATTGAATCCTGGTTTCCCACATGTAAGGCAAGCTATTCCACCACTACCCTCATAAAATGTTTATTCTCACTCTTGAGGAGCCCTGGTTGCATAGTGGTTACTCATTGGACTGCTAACCCCAAGGTCAGCAGTTCAAAACACCAAGCTTCTCAATGAGAGAAATGTGAGATTTTTTTTATTTCCATAAAGAGCTACAGTCTGAGAAGCCCACAGGGGCAGTTCTACCCTGCCTTATAGGGTCACTATAAATATACCTTTTTATTAATATACTTTTAATTTTTATTTAACTTTCCATTATGGCAGATTTTGAACATATACAGAAATACAGACAGTAAACTTGCTTAACATGTTTACCATCCAACCCAGTTAACAGTCTGTAGTCAACCGGAATGAGTTCTCAAACCTGTACATAATGCCATGTAATGCCCTGTCTCCTGCTGCCTAGGCTGTAATCTCTCCCTACTTTTTATCTAAATTAAGGAGTTCCGTATTATTAACAAATCTACTCTGGTTTTAATTTTACCTTATTTAATTTGATTTTGGGTATATGTGTATTTTTAATTTATGTTTTTATGGCAATACAGTCATAATATTCCTTAGTTAATTCTGTTTGTAAAACCTTGATGTAGCATTAGTATTCTAATATCTTGTGATAAAATTTACACCATATAAAAAATTTTGAAATTATTTTATATAGTATACTTTCAGGCCAAGCAAGGTGGCTTGATCAGTTATTGATTTTTTATAACTGGATTGCTAAATTTTGCCCCAAACATTTTGTTTCTTCCCTTCAGATGTTTCAACAGTATCCAAGACTGGCATATCCTCCTACTGCACATGGTCCCATGAGGTTCCCGCCTTCTTTATCTGATACAAACAAGTAAGACTGTTAAGTAATTAAAGTCTGAAATGCACATTTATGCTCATTAAAATGTTTGGTCTTCTTTAGATTGCAATGATTGATTGATTGATTTTTCTGTTTTACTTGTTTCTCCCTGCTTCCTTCTGTGGATTTTAGTAAAATTGCAGTGACTTTTCTCTAAGTTGCATACTTTTGAGATTATTTTTGATGTATTGTAAATTCTTAAAGCATAAGGTAAATTTCCTCAAACGAGAAAATTTTGGGGTTTTGTTGTAGAACTAGTAGAAAAATTAATCTAGTTCAGATACAATAAAGTTTTTTTTTAACCTATTAAATACTTATGTAAGATGTCCTACATTTCTGTATTAATAGTATATTATCTTAGTATAGGAAACACAGTTGAATTGAATTGCACTAAGTTCCAGTCATTTAATATTATCCTATACAGCGTTATTAAAACTTTGTGTCCTTCTCATAACCGTATTTGTAGAGGCCTTCGAGGAAGAGGTCCACCTCCTTTATGGGCTTCTGAACCTGAACGCCCCTCCATCCTTAGTGCATCCGAACTCAAGGAGCTTGATAAATTTGATAACCTAGATGCTGAAGCTGATGAAGGTTGGGCAGGTAAGAGACAAAAATAAAATCTGTTTTAAGTGCTTTCAGCTGTCAAATACTTTCATGCAGTCAATCTAAATTAATTTTCTAGGTGCTCAGATGGAAGTTGATTATACAGAACAGTTGAATTTCAGTGATGATGATGAGCAAGGAAGTAGTAGTCCTAAAGAGAACAGCAGGTAAACTACTGTGATACCCTTTTTAATAAAATAAAGATGTTTACATTCTTGACATCAAATGAGAGATATTTGAAAATGAGCGCTGTGGACCTTTTTCAACTTGTTACATGCATGGCTTGATCTATATTCTGATTCTGTACATTAAGTGCATTATAATGCACTTAAATGATATCTCCAATGGTGGGTTCAGATGCAATTTCTTGGGTAGAATACAAAAAATTCTATTTTGTATTCTGTTGCTAGTTCTGTATGTTTTATGAGCCCAGATTTGATGGCTATTGCGTTGCATTTTATGCCTTCTGATGAGCTCATCAAGCCCAGTCCCCAACACACTATGTAGCGAGAACATATTGAGTGGATTAGTTAATTAATGAGATCACAAAAGCATCTCATTTCATTTTACAAGGGTGACTTCAAAGTATATGGAAATATTTTAACTCCCATTTTTTCTAGAATTTTTCAAGCCCTTCATATTTTTCCCTCAAACCATATGGAATTTTGTTTGTGTTTGTTTGTTTTAAGTAGAGGAAAATATATTTACTTATGATAGCAGTCTAATTTTTTTTTTTTACCCCGGATCTTGATTCATCAGTGAGGATCAAGGTTCAAAATCCTCTGAAAATACTGAAAACCACAAGGAAGCAGATGACACTAACAGCACTAAATCATCCTCTCAAATACCTGCCCAGCCATTAGTAGCCAAAGGTCCTTATGGGAAAGGACCTCCGTTTAATCAGGTTTGTTGGTCCTGTGGTGATCCTTGTCATGAAGATACTATGGATGAATTAGTTTTGTAGTCCTAGAATTGCAAATTGACTCTGTTACGTTTTTCTGTAGATGAAGCACAGGAGAAGCTATAGAGACAATAAGTAGAATGAAGATTCCAGAGGGGAGGAGGGTATAGCAGGGAAGGTGGTGGTGGTGGCAGGTTGGGGTGGGGGGGTTGTGTAATAGGGAGCTGATAGCAAGGAGTACAAGAAGAAGATTTGAATCTCATTATGGTAGCACTTGTACAACACTGCTTGATATGACAACTATTGAATGCTATGATGTCTGGATTATAAATAAAATGGTTTGGAAAAAGTAAAATAGATTTTTAAAAATATCTTAATAGAAGTATACACTTGTAAGAACTGAATCTGTGGAAATGGTTCGGTTTTTTTAAGACATTGCTTGAGCAAATTCTTAATGAAACAATAATTTGCCTGTAAACATAGTACGAATAATTTCAAATAGTGGAAACCTGTGCAGAGTAGGAAGCATGAGAAAGTCCTAAACAAAACAAAAAACTGCCATCGAGTCGATGCCGACTCATAGTGACCCTATAGAACCGTGACTTTCCGAGGCGCTCCACCTTTATCCCCCAGAACAACTGGTGGTTTCAAACTGTTGACCTGATTAACAGCACAGTGTGTAACCACTACACCGCCAGGACTCTTTAAGAAAACCCATTGGTCAGGAAATTCTAAGTAGTTTATTAAGAGAGAAGAGACAGGGATGTTATGTAAGAACCAGTTCAGAAGATTTATGTGCTGTATATGAGAGTTTGGATTTTATGACCCATTTAAGAAGCTTACAAACTTAAAAAGAAGGATTTTTAAGCTAATATTTTAACTAAATGGCACAATTTTAGAAACAAACCCATTGCAGCCCCATCAGTCAGACTCAAGCAGCCCTGTATAGGACAGGGTAGAATTAACTGTGTAAAGCTTAAGTTTTCGAGGCTGTACTCTCATGAGACCTAACTGCCACGGCTTTTCAGTAAGTCTTAAGTACAATCACTGTGGCCCCAGGACTCTTGGTAGCATATAGTGAAGGTGATACTCCTTACCCCGTGGGGAAATCAAGGCAAATATAGAAAATAATGTCCTGATTTATTGCCTTTCTCTTTCATAATAGGATCATGGACCATCTTCACAACTGCCACCTCCCCCAAAGTTGCTCACACAGCAGGTAACTCTAAACTAAATTGCTAGTTTCTGGTGTATATGATGATGTTTGATGATTTTGCTTTAATATAAACGTTATTTTTGTAGTTCTTATTTATAATTTATGGAATATAATCATGAGATTTTTTTTCCTTCACATTACCTTTCTCATCCTTCCTTTTTAGCTAATTAGCATACACCTAATTTCACTAAGAATATAAGAAAGCACCCAGAAGATGACTATACCTGCTTTTCCCGTGTTAATCGTCCGTGCCCTCTTGCCTCGTTGTTACCATACCTTTTTCCCTGGCTACTAAGGATAAGACTTCTACTTGTTCCCGTGATTCCCAATTCATTGACATGTAATGTTGGCAAGAAGGAAAACCTGTCTCCTATTTAAAAAGGAAAATAGGAAAATATCTTACACCCCTCAGTAGCTTCTACCCTGTTTCTCTGTTTTACTTCATGGCAATTTTTTTTTAGTGAGATACTTATGCTTGTTATATAAGTAGGGCTCAACGCCTACACTTTTATACAGATTCAAGTTGACATAAAATGTAACCACCAAAGGGTCACAGAAATACACCATGCCCCTTTACCTCACCACATATATGAAAATTAACTCAAAACTTAAATATCTAATAGAAAGCTTTCCTGTTATCTTTAAATATACAAAGATTTCTTGGATAGTGCACTAATCAACCAAACTTTGAAAAACAATAATAAAAAGATATGCCTTGTTAAAAAAGATTTGTATCACATACATCTGATAAAGTAGTAGCCCAGTAAAATTATTGGAACTACGTACTTTATAAAAGAAGACATACAATTGGCCAATATGTTCATGAAAAGATGTTTGATATCTTAATCAGCCATCGACTCATTGAGTCCATTCTTATTCATAGCAACCTAGAACTGCTCTATATGATTGTTATAAATCTCTACTGGAGCAGACAACCTCATTATGGTGACATCTTTTGGACACAGTATGAACAACTGTAAAGTTTTGGTCTAGCTGGTTTATAAACAGGATCAATCAGTAAGTTATTCTGACTTTGGGGCACTAAAATTTTTTTTAGTACACTTAAGAACTTGTACACTGAGATGGTTATACAATTTCTGTTTCAGGGTTGTCTATGTAAAACTCCACAGTGTTTATTTGATCCATTGCTAGTAATTTTGATGATACAGTTTCCGCCTATGTTTAACTAGGCTTCAAATCCTCATGGTAGAGTCAATTCTCTTCTAAAGAAGAGATTCCATTTAAAAGAAAGTTCTTGAAACCTAAAGATGTTTCATGATTTAGACAGGAGCCTTCATGGGTAGCAAAGTCTGACCCTCCCTAACCAGTTAGTTACCTAAATTCTGTTGTCTGTCTCTCTCACTTACTAGGAGTGTTCATATGTGTTTGATGCCAGAACTCTGCCCCGGAGCCCTCCCAGAGTATTCATAAATTTCTAAAATATTAATTCCAAAACCAAGGCTTCTCAATCAGGCATATTTTGAAAAGGAAATTGTCTACAGACAATGCTATTCTGAATTAGTATTTACTGGTTGTAGCTTTTTATTCATTTTATCTTCCTTATACTTTGTCCACATATTTTTTTGTAATAAAATAGGAAATACTCTAGGGTATGTGTTTTCTGTACCAAATAAAATATTGGGGGTCAAGAAAGAAACCAAACCTGACCAAGGGTTACGGGGGGGAGGGTTGGTGCTTAGGGGCATTGAGTTGATGTGAATGGTGGTGGGATAATTTGGAAAAGGCTCTCAATCATCATGGTTATGCAACAGAGAGTATCATCAATGGCACTGAATTATCCATGTGGACGTTGTGGAATTGGAGAATGTTTTGTTGTGTATGTTTTTGCCACAATTAGAAAAATAATACATGAACAATGAGTACAAGGAAGAAGAAAATGTTCTAGAATTGAATGTGGTGGTAATTGGACAACTCTTCCTGATAGGATGGAATGACTCACTTGTATGGCATGTGGATGAAGTGCTAATAAAACTGTTTATATATAGGGGGGGCAGTACCTATTAGTTTTTATTCTCCTGCAGAGTGGCTGGTGGCTTTGAACTGCTAATCCTACTCAGTTTATATTAGATGTCTAGATTCATTATCTTGTGTTCATTTGGGGAATTACATAGCTTCTCCTACCCCCACCCCCTCTTAAATCGTTTTTAATTTAAATGTATCTTTTTATCTGGAAATTTTCTGCTCTTTCTCCTGACATATGCCTGTGGTTTCCTGTGTTGGTTAGATATCCAGAGTTGTCGTACTCAGCTGATTCTCTTCCTATTTCAGCATCCCCCTCCTCCAGATCGACAGGCTGGACCCGCACGTGGAGGCCCTTTCCCCGCCAAGCAGCAAGTCCCTGATGAAGATGAGATTTGGAAGCAGAGACGAAGACAACAGTCAGAAGTTTCTGCAGCAGTGGAGCGTGCTCGTAAACGACGTGAAGAAGAGGAACGGAGAATGGAAGAACAAAGGAAGGCAGCTTGTGCAGAGAAACTGAAACGATTAAATGAGAAGTTTGGCATTGTCGAAAAACAGCCTTCTCCTGAGGAAATTAGGGAAAAGGAGCGGGAAAAACAACGGGAGCGTGAGAAAGAACTTGAAAAAGAACAAGAGCGGGAGAGAGAGAAAGAAAAGGAAAGAGAGAGGGAGAGGCAACAGGAGAGGGAGAAAGAACTGGAGAAGGAGCAGGAAAAACAAAGAGAAGTGGAGAAAGAAAAACAGCAAGAAAAAGAGAAAGAACTAAAGGAGCAACAAAAGGTAAAGGAAGAAGAACCGCAAAAGACAAGTGAGCAGGAGACGAGATGTGAACCAGAGCAGACGGAGAAGGAAGACGTAGAAGACAAGGTGGAACCTAAAGAACTTGCTTCAGAGCCTGTGGTAGAAACCCAGGAAAACGAAGACAACAGTACCAAAGGTATAATACATTTGATCACGCATACAGGTTTTACAAAACACTGGTGCACATTGAATAAGATTGATCACAAGTCCAATAACGGCTGAATTGTTTCACATGTATGTGAGATCAATAATATTGGCTCTAGTTAACCAAAAGGTAACGAGACTTTGAGCCTATATAGGTTAGGTTATCTTAATTTTTAATAGTGGCTATATCTACATAAATTATTTGAAAAAATTCAATGTTTTCACTAATTCATTCACTAATTTTTTAGTGTTCATACTTTATATATTGTCTCATGGTAATCTTACTAAATTTCTCAAATACCATTTGATTTTAAGTATTGAGCGTATTTGACTCTCTTTTTTCCCTACAATATTTTGTTTTTATCTTTAATAAATTTAATATTAATGTCATGCCACATGAAAAACATAATGTGTGATACTTTATAGTATGACTTTCTGTTTTTAGGTCATTTTTATGTTCGGAGATGTTCTAGGTAATCATAGGTGAATAGTGACAGTTGTAGAGCTCATTCTTAAAACACTTAAGAAAATAGGTAAAGTTTGCCATGTTTTATTGGTACAAATAGACATTTTTGCATAGTGGGCCTTCATTGATGAAGTTTGTAAGTTTTGGTAATGTGAAGTTCCCTCATCAGTGGCTACCAACATAGCATACAGAACAGTGTGTGTACTGGAGTGCCAAGGTTACCTTCTTCCACGTTAACTTTTATTAGATGGCATGGATGAAAAAGATTATCTTTTACCTTTTCTTTGGGCAGAGGATGAGCCAGTTTTCATTACACAAGACAGCAATCGCAGTGAAAAAGAAACCACACAAGTGGCACACGAAACAGAACCAGAGCCCGGGTCCCACCCTCGGCCTGCCATGTTATCTGGCTATTTCAAGCCGTTTCAGAAGTCTCTACCCCCGCGATTCCAGCGGCAGCAGGTAAGGCTAACTCATATATGCGTGACTGAAAAGATTCGGTGTTCAATAATTTGAAGAATTAATGTGTCATTTTATTTTTTTAAATCATTTTTTTGGGGGCTCTCGTTACAATCCTTGCATCCATCCATCCATGTGTCAAGCACATTTGTACATTTGTTGCCATTGTCTTTCTCAAAACATTTTCTTTCTACTTGAGCCCTTGGTATCAGCTCCTCATTTTTTCCCTCCCTCTACCTCCCTCCCTCATGAACCCTTGATAAGTTATAAATTATTATTTTTTCATGCCTTACACCAACAATGTCTCCCTTCAACCACATTTCTGCTGTCCGTCCCCCTGGGAAGGGGTTATATGTAGGTCCTTGTGATCAGTTCCCCCTTTCTACTCCACCTTCCACTTACTATCCAGGTATTGCTACTCATTATTGGTCCTGTGGGATTTATCTGTCCTGGATTCCCTGTGTTTCCTGCTCTTATCTGTACCCGTGTACATGCTCTGTTCTAGCCGATTTGTAAGGTAAAATTGGGGTAATGATAGTGGGGGCGGGGGGAGCATTAAAGAACTTGAGGAAAGCTGTATGTTTCAATGGTGCCACACTGCACCCTTATTGAGCTGTCTCTTGTGACCCTTCTGAAAGGGGATGTCCAGTTACCTACAGATGGACTTTGGGTCTCCACTCTGCACCCCACCTCATTCACATTGATATGATTTTTTGGTTTGGGTCTTTGATGCCTGTCACCTGATCCCATTGACACCTCATCACATGGGCTGGTGTGCTTCCATGTGGGCTTTGTTACTTCTGAGCTAGATGACCGCTTGTTTATCAAGCTTTTAAGACCCCAGACGCTACATCTTTTGATAGCCGGGCTCCATCAGCTTTCTTCACCACATTTGCTTATGCACCCATTTTGTCATCAGCAATCATGTCTGGAAGTTCAGCACCATGGAATGCCAGATTATTAGAACAAAGTGTTCTTGCATTGAGGCAGTACTTGAGTAGAGGCCTATTGTCCATCCGCTACCTTAATACTTAACATATAAATATATGTACATAGATTTATTTCCCCATCATTATATATAAATATATATACATATTTTAGACCTCTGTTAATGCCCATTTGACTCCAGTTCTTTCCTCTATTTCCTTTTACCTTCCTCTTGTCCCACTATCATGTTCGGCCTTCATTCAGATTTCAGTAATTCCTCTTGGTTACATTGTCCTTGATCAAGCTCTACTAGGCATCCTGCTCCCTCCTCGCCATCAATTTTAGATCACTTGTACCCTTATCCCTGAGTTTGTTAACACCAACTTCCTTTCCCTCGCCTCCCCCTCTCCCATGTCGCCCCAGAACCATCAGTCCTGTTTTCTCCTCCAGATTGTTTATCTTGCATATCTTACCTAGATAGACATGCAGAGACAATAATAAGCACACACACACAAAAGCAAAACCAAACAACAAACCCCCAAAAAAGGCCATAAATAGTTACAAGTCTGTTTGTTGACCTTTAAGAGTGTTTTCCAGTCCAGTTTGATGGGGTCCGACTCCCTGGCCCCAAAGTCTATTTTTGGCATTCTCCGAGGACTTCATTGCTTTGCTCCCCATGCTGCTCTGCTACACACCCTTAGTGTTTTGCCCGAGGTGGTAGAGTCAGATTGGGTACAGTTCTCAACAGAGTCTCTAGTGTAGTCCCGCAAAGTACTATGGGTCAGTGAGGGACGTCGTGTCGTGTCATTGATTTTAAAAGACAGAAAGTACGCAGCTTAGCCCTCAAATTCTTTTTCTTTTTTTCTCCATGCCTCATAGATAGATGCTGTCTACCTACGAAATGATTGTATAATAGAATGAGTGAATGATTAGTTGCATATTATAACATCCTTTGTCTTAGCACCTTTACATCTTTTGAAAACCTACTTAAGGAATTCAAAAGGCCTTTTTTTTAAAACGGAGATTGTATTAACTCATGTGAAATTAAAATCAAGATGTGGATCTTTTCCAGGAGCAGATGAAGCAGCAGCAATGGCAGCAGCAGCAGCAGCAGCAACAACAGCAACAGCAAGGAGTTCTTCCCCAAACTGTGTCTTCTCAACCATCCAGCAGTGCTGTTCCTCCTGCACCACACAGACCTCTGTACCAGCCCATGCAACCTCACCCTCAGCATTTGGCTTCTATGGGTTTTGATCCAAGGTGGCTCATGATGCAGTCATACATGGACCCTCGCATGATGTCAGGAAGACCTGCTATGGATATTGCACCCATTCATCCTGGTTAGTTGATATTGGCATTGTCTCATGGCTCACAGTTTTGCAGAATGAAAGTTTTTGGTCATTTTCCCATTTTTAGCCATAATTCTTTTAAGTATTCTTGGGAATAACTTGTATAGGACATCAAGATTTTTAATCATAAAACTATGTCTTTCAAGACAGAGTAGTTAACCAGGAACTTGTATCAATTGTGTGTTAAGGCTAAAGATTAGTTTTGTGCTTTATTATTTGAGTTTAAGAGTGATAAAAAAATTAATCAAGAATCATCATCATTTTAGTGTTTGCATAGAAAAACTTAGAAAATCTTTAAGTAGCATAACTTACAGAATATTTTTAAGATAATTAAACTAGATGAATGGAAATCTCCTATAGGAAATGTTTTCTCTAATTTTATCAGTGTTATAATGATTCTCATATTAACATTGATGCACTTCTAATGCCTGGTATTTCCCGTGGTGTGAAATCAGTTTTGTTGTTTACGTATATCTTTAAATCGAGTATAGGAAGTGCTAAGTAACCATTAATCGCATTTCCTCTTTGTGAATTTTTCTTACAGGAATGATTCCTCCACCTAAGCCATTGATAAGAAGAGATCAGATGGAAGGTTCTTCAAACAATTCGGAGTCATTTGAGCATATAGCTCGATCTACAAGAGACCATGCTATTTCCATCGCTGAACCTCGTATGATGTGGGGGTCAGATCCCTATTCCCATGCTGAACCTCACCAGGCAACTACGCCCAAGGTAACGGAAGAGCCTGAGGATATAAGGTAATAAATTATTAAAATTAATAAACTAATAAATTATAGTGATATAAAGAAAACCAGTTTGCATCCTTGAAGATCATTTTAATGTATGACTGAGCCATGAGTCTAATTGGTCTACTTGGTGAGCTTCATTTTATTTTTAATTTTTTTACTTAAATTGTCTATTTTTTTTCTGTATACTTTGACTTATTAGGGCATTTTGTGTGTAATCCGATTGTATACTCAATTAAATGCTGAAATTCAGTGATCCAGATTAAAACATGTTTTTACTGTAGATTAGATGTGAAGGGGAAAATTGTATTTATCATGCTTATGTAGTTTGCCTGAAGTGATATAATGTGTCTCTTAGAAATGGTGGATATTTGATTGCCAATATCTTTGGGAATTTTTCTAGAACTAAGATACATAAGTAGAAAACTTAATGACCCAAAGCTTGAAGTGGCAGACAGTTAGTACTCTCTTATAATTTACAGTCAGATACTATATTTTGTGATTAAGTTTTATAATCATATCTGAGTAAGTGGGACAGGTGTGCCTACTGTGGTCCAGCTTTTCATTCTAAGTAGGAATTATTAGTCTTAATGTATTATAAATTCATGTCAGAGTGGTTTGAACTAATAAAGATTATGATTAGGATTCATTGTTTCGTGTTTTATATTTTGTGCTGTTTTCCTATGCATTCATATGTGGGATACATTTTGTTGTTTATGTTTTTAATTCTCTTCCTCACAGACCTGAGGCCCCTGTTGAAGAACAGATGACTCCTGTTTACCCTATAGAACATAGTCCATTGGAGTCTCATCCCAAAGCAGACTTTCTCAGAGAATCAAATGAAACAGAAGTTCAGAAGTTTTTAAGCAAATCTGTGGAAGACATTAGACCTCACCACACTGACCCAAACAACCTGTCTTCTTGTGCTGAAGTAGCTGATCAGAAGGTAATATCCACTGCTCAAGAAGAGCGGACATCAGCTGCAGAAAGCCAGCCTGTTCGGAAAAGAAGTGTTTCTCATGGGTCTAACCATACTCAGAAACCAGAAGAGCAGAGAAATGAGCCATTTGTAAGCATTCCTAAAATCAACAGCAGATGCATTGATTCAAAAGAATCTACAGAACGAACAGAAGAAAAACCAAAAAAAGATGGCTTCATGCGATCTTCTGAAGGACCAAAACCTGAAAAATTATATAAATCCAAATCTGAAACTCGCTGGGGCCCAAGACCAGGCTCTAACCGGCGGGATGAAGGTAATGACAGGCCTGTGAGAAGATCAGGCCCCATTAAAAAACCCATACTTAGAGATATGAAAGAGGAGCGGGAGCAAAGGAAGGAGAAAGAAGGAGAAAAGGGTACAGAAAAAGTTGTTAGACCCGAAAAGCCTGAAAAGAAGGACCCTCTTCCTCTACCCGCACCAGCTCCTGCACCTGTCCAGTCACAGTCAGTTCCACCGCCCCCTCAACCCGAACCCGAGAAACCTCCTTCAACAGAGCCTTCAACTTTGCCTCAAAAACCACCTCCAGATACAGAGAAGCCCGCGGAGACTCTAAATAGTGTTCAAGTAGAGCCCACAGTTAAAACGGTCAACCAACCAACTGTCTCAGTGCCAACAGTCAAAGAAGAGAAACCGCCCGAGAAAGTCATCACTAAAGACCTTGTTATAGAAAGACCTCGACCAGATACAAGGCCAGCAGTTAGAAAAGAGTCAACTCTACAAGCCCCCAGAACCTACTGGAAAGAAGCTAGAGATAGAGATTGGTTTCCAGACCAGGGATACCGAGGTCGAGGCCGAGGTGAATATTACTCCAGAGGCCGAAGCTATAGAGGCTCTTACGGGGGCCGTGGCCGAGGTGGTAGAGGGCACACTCGAGATTATCCTCAATATAGAGACACTAAGCCAAGACCAGAGCATGTGCCCTCAGGACCTCTGAGGCAGAGAGAAGAAAGTGAAACACGGAGTGAGAGCTCTGATTTTGAAGTCGTTCCTAAAAGAAGAAGACAGCGAGGTTCAGAGACTGACACGGACAGTGAAGTTCATGAAAGTGCAAGTGATAGAGACAGTTTCAGCAAAGGTAAACTCGCCAAAAGAGAGGAACGATCTGAAAGCAAAAGACCTATAAAACCTCACTCTTCTTTCAAAACTGAAAATCATGTCCGAATAGATAATCGACCACTTGAAAAGCCTTATTTGAGGGATGATGATAAATCTAAACCAGGCTTCCTTCCTAAAGGAGAGCCAACAAGGAGAGGTAGAGGAGGAACATTCCGACGTGGTGGAAGGGATCCCGGAGGTCGCCCATCACGGCCCTCCACCTTACGCAGGCCGCCTTACCGGGACAATCAGTGGAACCCAAGGCAGGCTGAAGTCCCTAAACCAGAAGATGGGGAGCTACCCAGAAGACATGAGCAATTTATCCCTATCCCTGCAGACAAACGGCCTCCAAAGTTTGAGCGAAAATTTGACCCAGCTAGAGAAAGGCCCCGGAGGCAGCGTCCTACACGACCACCAAGGCAAGATAAGCCTCCTAGGTTTCGGCGACTAAGAGAGAGGGAGGCTGCTTCTAAAACAAATGAGGTAACAGTGCCCACAAATGGCACAGTTAACACTGTGACTCAAGAACCAGTCAGTACCACTGCTGGGGATGTTTCTGGGAATAAGACACCAGACCTATCCAATCAGAATTCTTCAGATCAGGCAAATGAAGAGTGGGAAACAGCTTCGGAAAGTAGTGATTTCAATGAGAGGCGTGAGAGGGATGAGAAAAAAAATGCTGATTTGAATGCACAAACAGTTGTAAAGGCTGGAGAGAATGCCTTAACTCCAAAGAGGGAAATTGCAAAAAGAAGTTTTTCCAGTCAGAGACCTGGGGTAGATCGCCAGAATCGGCGCACCAACAATGGTCCACCCAAATCAGGAAGGAATTTTTCAGGTCCTAGAAATGAAAGAAGAAATGGCCCACCAGCAAAAAGTGGAAAGAGAGGGTGAGTATTTTGTTTCAGTATAAAATAACTATCTTCATATCTCCGAAGAAACCTGAGAGTAGTTCTCTAGGTTGAACTTTTACAAAGAGGCCAGTCTAGGTAGAGGACCATTTCCTTCCCAGAATCTCCTCTCTGTCCTTAAAATGTAAAGATGCTTGAGAAGGAGAAATTAATGTGTAGCAGAAATCTTTGTCTAATAAATTACATCTTCTTCAAGTGAAGTGAAGTTCCTTGGCTCAGCTCTTTTGTCCATAGTCTTGGTACTTCCCACCCACCAAGTGATTGGTTGGTACCTGGTAAAACAGTGATAGAGGGGATTGCTCCGTTTTGCCAGTTCACTGGATGTAAAACAAGCTGTCGTAGAAACCAGAATAAAAGTTCCACAGCCATCGGTAAAGAAGAGCCACAAAGCTTGGATCACAAACATTTTTGTAACCAAGGATAAATTAGAAATCTGAAAAATTCTTGTTGGAAACTAAGGACTGGTCCATCTCCTTGCTTGGGAGACTCAATTTTACTGGCTCAACAAGTCACAAAGGCTTGTTGATATTAGAGTTAGGGGTTTTAACGTAATACTGCTTTTTTCTTAGGTTGAACTTTAGAAAGTATTAGTTTTTTCTTTTGTTTAGGTATATGGAGGTAATGACAACTCAGATCATTCTCATTACTGTTTTGTAGCGCATTTGATGACCAGTCTTCAGGCACAACTGGTGTTGACCCTCACAATGGCGGCTCAGCACATCACCAGGAAGGAGCACCCAATGGTACAGGACAAAAGAATTCCAAAGATACAGGGAAAAAAAGAGAAGATCCCAAGCCAGGTCCTAAAAAGCCCAAAGAAAAAGTAGATGCTCTCTCACAATTTGACCTCAACAATTATGCAAGTATGTCTTAAATTCGTACCAGTTAAACAAACACATTTTAAGGTGATAGTTATCAAGGAAAGGATAGTGATGGTTTGGTGGTTGAAAACTTAAACTTTCAAGTGGGAGGAGACCTTTGTTCACTTCCCAGTTACTGCATGCACCGCTTACACAGCCTCGGAATGCTACAGTGTCGAATGGGAATAAATAAGAGCTTATTTACTTATTTTTTAGATTTCATTTTATTGGGAGCTCTTATAGAGATCATTAAAATTCCATCGTTCAATCACATCAACCAGTATAGTACAATTGCTACCAAAATCCGTTTCAAAACATTTTCTTTCTTTCTTTCTTTCTTGAACTCCTTGATATCAGCTCCCCAGCTATGTGGGTTGGTTTTTTGTTTTTTTTTTTTGGACTGCTTCGATGGGCTTTGTGGATCAGAGTAAAAGGAAATCCTTGACATCATTGTTCTCCACTTATTATGCTGCTTATTTATCTAGTTGCGAAGATTATTTTTTAATAAGGTAATCCATCTGAAGTCTATCGCCTTTGATCTTCATCAGTAGGCTAGACATTTACAAATGTAAAAATGTCCTTCATTCAGGTAATGAGACTGAAGGTAGAAACGTCGAATAAAATTGTATCTTCAGTTAGGGTTCCTTATATACATTAAACCTTGATTTGGACCCAGGTCCTTAATATTTTTTTACTGTACACGTGTTTCCCATTTAAAATATATATTAGAATAACAAGTGATTTGAGTTACCGCATCCTTTTTGCTTTGTTTTTTTCCCTTGTGCAGATATTACGCATACAAACATAAAATATAATTTGGAACGAGCTAGCCAAACTGATAACAACAATAATTTGGAAATAACATCTTTAACAGTTTTATCTGCTAGACGATTGTAGCCCGTTCAATACACTGTTTTGCGTTTATATGGTCCTTTCCCTTTTTTTAAAAAACAACTTCAAGTAGTAGACAGAGGCCTTCATAAAATAGAGGCATTGAAATTCACAAGACCAACTCATCTGACACTGTCTCATCTTGTGACTGCTAACAAAGTATCTCTGCACCTTTTCCTTTGAAAAGGAAATAATAGTATTATCCTCTGAAGGGTTAGCTGCATATGAGGTAGAATACCATATATTTATAATGATGCAGATCTAAGACTGAGAGATGGAAATTAATTTCACTAAGGTCATAAGAAACCTTTGATTTGAGGGTACTGCCCCTATGTTACATAAAAGTTAGGTAAATAAGAAATGTGTATCATCTGAAGCAGGTAGTTTTACAAAACCTTTTGTTTTGAACTTTAAAATATGTTCAAATCTTGATTATTAAGTCATTTTACTAATGAGTGGCCATTTTATGTAGTAGAAAATGAAAAATGGGTTTTAACTCTTCAATTGAATTGTGGAAAGTACCATATTGGGTTGTTTTGGGTTGTTTTTGTTTCCACAGGTGTTGTTATAATTGATGACCACCCTGAAGTAACAGTGGTTGAAGATCCTCAGTCAAATTTGAATGATGATGGTTTCACTGAAGTGGTATCCAAAAAACAACAAAAACGTTTACAGGATGAAGAGCGCCGGAAGAAAGAAGAACAAATCATACAGGTGTAAAACTTGTTTCAACTTGTTAAATATTTAGATTGTTGTTTATTGTGTTTTACAAATGATCAACTTTTCTACCTTTGAAGTTATGCAAGTGTTGAGAGTGATTTGATTTTCATAACTTTGAACTCTATTGAACCCAGCAAGATAAGACTTAGATAGAAGATGATTACTTTAGTTCACCATTTGCCTTCAAACAGACCATTGTTACTTTTTTTTTTTCTGTTGTATTGTTGGTTATCTTATTTGCCCAGTTATACATGTCTGAATTACAGTGATACTTTAAAATGGTCTTGTTAATCTAGTGAACACAATTGCCATGCCCTACGTTGTAGATTTTTAGTTCATATAAATGCACTGAAACTCCAGGCGTCAACTATTTTAAAGAATAATAGATTGGATAGTATAATCCTCGTAAAAAAACTATGAGATTTAAATCGTTACGATTTACCTAAAGCCAAGTTGCAAAGTCCAGCAGGCGAAGGGAAGTTAGATCAATAAAAACAACAAGCAGAAATGAAATCATGAGAAAGCTGACTGTTACTTTTAGTTGCATTATTGACAGAAATTCTACCTGTCAATTTTTAAAGGTCTGGAACAAAAAGAATATAAATGAAAAGGGAAGAAATCAAACATCAAAGCTTCCTCCAAGATTTGCCAAAAAACAGACTACTGGGACCCAGCAAACACCAGTTCCAGCTTCAGCCTCACCCTCAACTACAGTCCCAGGCTCAACCTCAGCCCCAGTTCTATCCTCAAACTCAACTCCAATTGTCGCATCAACATTAGCTTCAGTTCCACCATCAACCTCAGCTCCAGTTCTAGTCTCAGCCTCAGCTCCAGTTCCAACCTCAGCCTCACCCTTATCCCCAGTTCCAGCCTCCACTTCAGCCATAGCCACAGCCTCTTCCTCAGTCCCAGCCCCAATTCCAGCCCCAGTTCCAGGTCCAGCCCCAACCCCTATCCTTGCCTCAGTCTCAGCCCCAGCCACAGTCCCCATCCTTGCCTCTGCCCCAACCTCGCTTCCCATCCTTGCTTCAGCCCTAGCACCAGCTTCGACTCCAGCTCCAGCTCCAACAGTATCAGCCCCAACTGCCTCAACTGTTTCAGCTCCATCAGCTCCAACCACCTCTATCCCACTTACCCCAACCTCGGCTCCAACCCCAACTTCAACCGCTCAAGCTCAGACTCAGGCACAGACTCCCAAACAAGTCCAACATTCACTGCAGACTTCAAAACAGCCACCACCTTCAATAAGGCTGCCTTCAGCTCAGACACCCAGTGGTACAGATTATGTAAGCACAGGAAAATCCATCCAGAACTCGCAGTCCCATGGTACTCTTTCAGCTGAATTGTGGGATAGTAAGGCAGCCCCACCTGCTGTACTGAATGACATCCCTAAGAAATGTAAGTTTGCTGCACAAGTGGGAGATGGAAAGAGCATGGACTAGCGCGTTGGGGAGGCGGGGTTATTCTTACTTATTTTTATTTATCGTATATACTCAAGTATAAGTCAAGTTTTTCAGCACATTTTTATGCCCTTTTCATGTTAAAATTAGGTGCCTCGGCTGATATTCAGGTTGGCTTATACTAGAGTGTATACGGTATATACTCTTCCTAGCCATCTCTTCTTTTCCTCAGTGGAAACAGTAATCATTTTTAACTTCTCTTTAAACCCTTGTTTCCCTTCTAACAACCATACTGTGTCTTCATGGTTGCAATTTTGTGTTTATAAAGTAATACATAAAGTTCATTGGGTTTATACACGAGGGTTTCAAAAAGCTCTTGGGAAAATTCCATTATATTTTACTTCTTGAAGCTCCCTAATATTTCTTTTGGGATGCAAGAATCTTAACTATGATATAAAAAGTTATTGTTTCAGTGTCTGACTACTGTTACGAGAAAAGATTTGACAGATTAATTTAGATATTATTACCCTAGTAATGATCACATTTTCTATGGCTTCCTTTTAGTAGGTCCTATTAGTCCACCACAGCCACCATCTGTCAGTGCATGGAATAAGCCCTTAACATCATTTGGAACAGCAACTTCTCCAGAGGTAAGAATTGAATGAGTTTAGTAGGGTATGTCAGACTGTGTTCCTTTAACATGTATAAGAAAATATCCATGGTAATAAAATAATAATAAAGTTTTATAAGGTAGATAGGTAGTATCTGCATGGGTGCCCAGCATCAAGAAGGTGCTTTATAAATTAGTCACTGAAGGAATGCCATAACTACACTACTGCATCACCAGTTTAAACACACTCTGTATGTTATTGTCAGAATAAACTTGAGAAATAATAGTGATACTGCTTTGGAGCCTGGTGGCATAGTGGTTACACGTTGGGCTGCAATCCGTATAGTCAGCAGTGGAAACCACCAGCAGCTCCGTGGGGAAAAGACTAGGCTTTCTATTCCAGTCAACAGCCTTGGAAACCCATAGGAGGTCGCTCTGAGTCAGCATTAGCTCAAGGGCGGTCAGGTTGATTTTTGTTTTGGGTGTTACTGTGTCCTTTCTTCCCCTCCCCAATTAATTTATTCATCAGTTTGTTTATTGCTGGTGATAATTCTGCATATTATGCTTTGTTTTTATTCTAAATAATGGAACTATTTGAGATTTTGAATTTCATGTGTTTGCACTAAAGAGTTTGAGATATTTAAACCTTAAGTCTTGTTCTAATCTTTGTTTTATCAGGTTTTTTTAGTACAGATTGAGTGGGGGAGGAGTTATAAAATACAATCTGGATAATTCATCTCTGTTAATATGTAGACTGCTTCAAGCCAACTTCTGTTGTTTAAAATACATGGTGTTAATTGATTAGTCAAGTTTGAGCACTTTTTGCTCTGACAAGTTTTTAAATATTCTCTTACCTAGGGACCGAAGAATGGTCAAGAAAGTGGAGTTGAAATAGGAATTGAAACGATTCAGTTTGGTGCTCCAGCTTCGAATGGTAATGAAAATGAAGTTGTTCCTGTGCTTTCTGACAAAACTACTGACAAAATAGCTGAACCCAAAGAGCAACGACAGAAGCAGCCTCGAGCAGGTCCTATCAAAGCTCAGAAGGTAATAAAATTCATGTTTCCTGTACAATTTTATGAAAGCCACCAACATGGAGAGCAACTAATTGGTTTAAGATTAATTTTTAAATAAATGCTTTCGGTCATGATTCATCCTTGTTATATAAACATTGCATTTAGCTTCCAGATTTGAGCCCAGTCGAAAGCAAAGAACACAAACCCGGTCCCATTGGAAAGGAGCGTTCATTAAAAAATAGAAAAGTGAAAGATATCCAGCAGGTGGAGCCAGAAGGACAAGAGAAGCCAAGCCCTGCTACAGGTAGAAGCACAGATCCAGCACCAACAAAGGAAACCAAAGCCGTCCCAGAAATGTCTACTGAAATAGGAACAATGATTTCAGTATCATCTACAGAATTTGGCACCAGTGCAAAGGTGAACATCATGCTGTGACAAAAACATTATATTTTTCTTAAAAGATATGTAATTCTAATGTGCTTGACACAATGGGTATATGAATGGATTGTGATAAGAGTTGTACGAGCCCCCAATTAAATGATATAAAAAAAAAAGAAAAACAAAACAAAAACAAGATAGGTGATTCTATAGCCTGCATAGATTATTTCTATAGTAGAGAATATTTTATAGTGCACATAAATCATCTTAAAAATTATTGACAGTGAGTGTGGCAATGGGCTTACTCAAATATAGGGGCTCTTAAAGTAATTTACAGTCCAGAAATGTGTATACAAAATTTAAATGCTTTTCCTGTTTCAATTTGTAGGTTTAAAAGATTTGATCTGGAGTCCTTAAAATAAGTTTTATTTAATAGACTTATGGTGGTGCTTTATTGCTCCCACGGATGAGATTTTAATGTAAGAAAAACAAATTTTAAAATGTGGTTTTCTTCACTACATAAGTGAATATATTTTAATTCCTATAAGAAAAAATGTATGTGACTCTACTAGAAGACATCCATGAGAATAAACAGTGTATTCTAAAACCCAATTAATTGTGACAACTTCAGATCCTGGCATTTGATTATCTGCATTGAAGAGAAACTAAAATCAATCCTAAATAATAAAAGTCTGTTCTTTCTCTATTGGGTGGATTGGAAAGTGACTTGGATAATTGAAATTAAAACATGCCCTTTTTTCCATTTCTGCTCCATAGGAGTCCGTAACAGACTACACTACACCTTCTTCTTCTCTGCCTAACACTGTGGCTACTAATAATGCAAAGATGGAGGATTCTTTGGTTAATAATGTAAGTGATTAACTTAATAAGTAATCGTCACTTTTATCTGGTATACCATTTGATGGTGTACTTACTGTTTGACTGTTACTGCAGAAATGATTGATAATTAAAGCTGGTTTTGTTTGGTGTGTTTTGTTTTTTTAAAGCTTTCCACAAGATTATTTCTAGTTAAACTTAGTTTTATAATTATCAGTCAGTCCTATTAATCTTGTTTTGGTAAGAAGTTTTGTTCTTCACTCTCACATTCTACAAATCCAACATTTTCTTTGATTAGTGATTTTGTTTCAAGCAAAGCCTATATGCCTAATGTAGTGATTCCTCGGTAACTTAAAACTAGAGAGCAAACCTCAAGTTTCTTTTTGAATATTTTAAAAGTACACTGGGCCTGAAAAATTGAGCTCTAATAAATAATCTGAAATACTTTATTAAAGGGTAATGTTATGTTCTAAATTGGGCTGTAGTTTCCCAGAGCATCCTATTCATAATTCAAGATTGTGTTAAAAGTTAATGCAGATTGTCGTTTTGTGTAGTCCTCTGCCTGAGAGATGAAAAGTCCAGAAAAGTTAGATAGTCTACCGTGGTCACAACATATAATTTAGAAGAGCCTTTTAAAAGTTATTACCATGGTCTCTGTTTTGGAGAACAGAAATGGAGGAAATTTAGACTGCAGTAATTTGATTTATAGTCAAAATGTATAATATGTGAGAAATTTTCAAATAATATTTCTTTTCCAGAGGATAATTTTTAAAAAGAACAATGAACGTTTGCATCTGATAATCATTGCTTATTATAGAGGGCTGTATTTATTTTAAAGTGACTGTGGTGTAAATTTCCTGAGATGTCTAGTTTTCTCTTTAGCACCAAGTGTAAAGAAATTGTAAAAGATTAAGAAACATTAGCGCTTTTAACATGTAGGTAAGGCAAAGAAAGAGCGAACCTCTCTAAAGGCTAATTAATTTAACTCATTTACTTTGGGGTCTAATAAAATATCATGTGCTCTATCTTCTGCATCCTCATCCCTGTTTTAGGCTAATAGTTTAAATTATTGCTAAGCGATAGAAAATGCCCTTAAACTGATGTTAAGTAATTTTTAAAGTAAATTTTATGATGCATTCTCCAAAGTTACTGTCTGAAAATATAATTTAATGAATGGGAAAAGTAAGAACAGATCATTCTTAACAGGACCATTTAAGCCATTGAAAATAGCCCAGTGAGCATTTTAAAGGTTTTTGTGTGATCTCTTAGACTGATGAATGTAATGGCTTGTGCATGCCTATTTAGTCATGTAAAGGGGAATAGATAATGTTAGCATGCAAGGTATGTTTGAAAACCAGATCCGTTTGTGTCAGGGAGCAGTAAAAAAAAAGGTCATCAGTTTGAGATGATTTCACAGCATTGTTTTACTTGAGCTACATGTGGTGGTGATTCTGAACTTAATTAACTATAGTGTTAAAAATAAATATGCAAGTAGCCACCAGAAAGTTTGTGAAAAAATTCCATCATCACTTAATTTCATTTTTCCATGAACATTTTGAGGCCTCTTAGTATAGGACCTTGTGAAATGTTCTGTTTTTCTTCTCTGAACTATACTTAAAAAGATGTTTATATAACTCTTACTGAGGCATACCCACGAAACTGAGTGAATTATCAAAATCGAACAGTAATGCATAATAAAAATCTAAAGATTCAGAAACAGAAAAAAGAGATGCTTAGTAATTTTCAGTGTTTTCAAGTTTCTAACAGTGCCCTAATCTTTGTATGACTCTACCCACTACCATCAAGTTGATTCTGACTCACAGCCACCCAATCTAAATCGGGTTTCCAAAACTGCAGATCTTAATGGTAGCAGGCAGCCTCTTCTTTCCCCTGTGCAGTGGCCAGTGTGTTTGAATCATTAACCTTGCAGTGAACAGCAGAATGCTTAGCCCACAGCTCACCAAGCATTATCTTTACGTTTGGCTGTTTGGGCCTCACCACCATCCTGTTGATTCCAACTCATAGCAACCTGATAGTTCCCCCACCCCCAGGCTTACTCTTGTCTAGCTGGATGAAAGTTGACTGCATTACAGGGAACATATTTAACAACATTCCCAGGTTATTCCTGTGTATATTAAAAATGAGAGGTAGTGCCTTCAAGTATATACCTTCTCTTTGGGCCAGACTGCCAATTTGTGCATAAAAAGGCAGATAGTAATTTTCTTGACAAGTTTTACCAAAGTGTTCATAACTAACAATCACTACAAATAGAATGTAATTCTAAGAAATTGGATACTTCTGTTGGCTCTGATTAACAGTAATGCTCTTGAAGTATTGAGCATTAATTTAATGAGGCTTTTACAGCAGACTTAGTTAGTTATATTGTGATATGTGTTACCTGCCTTTCCAGGTGCCCCTGCCTAACACCCTTTCCCTCCCTAAGAGGGAGACTATCCAACAGAGCTCCAGCCTCACTTCAGTTCCTCCCACTACTTTCAGTCTCACCTTCAAGGTATGTACGACATCCTTCTTTAAGGGTCCTTGATTATTGCATGAAAGATGGCATAAATTAACAGTAATATTTCTTTTGTTGTTGTTGACATAATACCTGAGGAAATGGAGTGATGTCAAATTTATTCCTTATAATTTCTTGCTTTCAAATACCCTACTCAGTATTTAATGTAAAGAGGTTAATATGAGTATGCTCTATAAACAACACAATGAGATTGTGATTTGATTTTTTTCCCCTCCCTCTTCACATCAAGATGCAGTAGTAAACAGCGGAAGCAGAATTAAATAGAGATTTTTTTTTAATGCATTTATTTTATTTATGTCAGTAGTGCCATTTGTTCAGCTTTGTATTACAAAGGCATTTCAGAACATTTACTGGAAAGTGAAATTAAAAGATACTGGAATTTTTCAGCAAGCATTTTAAGCCATGAGTGATCTATTACAGCAGGGCTTTTTTTTTGTTTTTGTTTTTAACTCATTTTATTGGGGGCTCGTTCAGCTCTTATCACAATCCACCCATCCATCCATTGTGTCAAGCACATTTGTAGTACGCTTGTTGCCATCATCATTCTCAAAGCATTTTGTACTTGAGCCCTTGGTATCAGCTCCTTATTTTTTCCTCCCCCCTCCCTCCCTCGTGAACCCTTGATAATTTATAAATTATTATTTTGTCACGTCTTGCACTGTCCGACATCTTCCTTCACCTACTTTTCTGTTGTCCGCCCCCCAGGGAGGGGGTTATATGTAGATCCTTGTGATCTGTTCCCCTTTTCTCCCCCACCCTCCCTCTACCCTCCCGGTATAGCCACTCACCACTGGTCCATAGCAAGGCTTCTTAAATGCTGTACTGGTTAACAGTGACTCTTGTGATGGTCTCCAGGGGGTGAGAGTTAAAAAGTTGCCCTTACTCATTTATCACTGTTTCATGCCCATTCTTATCCAGCTGCTGTTAGTTTACCGCTTGCATGAGTATCCGAGCCTATATTTCTGATGTCTTTTAGATCATTGTAGTTATTATCTAATTTCACATGAGCAAATATGCCATCTTTGTATCTAAATCAATTGTTAATTCTTAATGAAACCTGTAACTTTGTGATTTGCTCATATTTTCACATTCTATGAAGAAATATTATATCTTTATATTTAAACTCAATTTAAGTGCTATTATTGCTTTTTCCCAATTTCTGTACTTTTACCTCTGGTTCTCTATCTGGGTAATACATGGGAACTTCAAAAAGTTTGTGGAAAAATTGAATTAAAAATTAATGGAAATTTTCTACAATCTTTGAAAATCCCTCATATGTAGAATTTAGTAAAATTTGATTATCTAGATACTGTTGGCAGTGTACTTTGCCCAGGGAAGTACATATAATTAATTGTACTTTTTTTATTTCCTTGAGTTTCTAAAAATAGAAACTGTAAATTTTTTGCTATTTAAGAAATAGTCAAGCCCAATGCATGTGACTTATTTATTATGTAAGATTGATGAACTATTATGCATTTTCAACATAACATAAATCTAGTGTGGAAGATGATTGTACTCTTATCAAATCACTTTAAACTATAAAAACCTCAGATTAAGTTACTCTGAACTGTGTGTTTACTGTGACCCCGTGTGACAGTAAAAGTCCCTATAGGGTTCTCCAGGCTGCCATCGTTCTGTCCTCAGAGCACCGCGGATTTCTCTGCAAAGCCTCCTGAGTTAGTTCAAACCCACGGCCATTGCATTCAGACCCAGTGATAGCAACTCTGTAGTTATGGCTGATTGTGTGCTCCAAAAAAACCTTTATTTTAATTACATTTCAAATCAACAAGTCCGGGAAAAGGAAAGATTTAAGCAAGCAGCTAACAGTGATGTCTTAGTCATGAGACGAGGTTGGATTATGTGTAGTGTGTGGTTTTTAAGGACACTGGTCAAAATTATTAATATTATTCTTCGATCAAATAAATTCTTAAATTTTTTTACTGCCTAGCTGTGGTTTATATAAAATGTTGCTCGTAAGAGGAATTCTCTTATGTAAGTCATCACCGTTGAATTTTATTGATTAGCTTTGGGTTTTCATCTCAGTCTTGCATTTTGACTGGTAGAACTGACAAAATGAAAATTTGCAATCCACTCTTTTCTGGTTCAAGTAGCCTTGAAATGCTTGAGGATTGCGCCTATATCCTCCCGTTCAGAATCCACTGGCCACATGCAGCTGCTAATCACTTGAAATGTGCCTAGTTCCATTTGAGATGTACTCCCAGACCCCATTGCCATCAACTCTGACCATAGCAGTAGCAGCTCAACATGTAACCCTATACCACTAGATACAAAATACTGGATTGACAAAAAATGTATCAAAATGTATGTCTTACTTTATTTAATATGGCTGCAAGAAATTTTAAAATTTTCATAAGTGACTCACATTGTCTGTCTGTTAAACAGTGCTTTTGTGAATAGATATTTTAAAAGCCTGTTTGTGCCTTTGAAGACTCTGGGAGAGCTAGAAGTAAAACCAGAGGCCACACATACCAATCTCTACAGTTAGCTAGCAGTGAGTAACCAGTGACATTGAGTTGATCCTGTAGGACAGAGTAGAATTGTCCCTCGGAGGTTCTGAGGCTGTAAATCTTTACAGGAACAGACAGCCTCGTCTTTCTCACTTAGGGTGGCTGGTGGGTTTTAACTGTAGACCTTGCAGGTAGCAGCCTAAAATGTAACTCAGTACCGCCACCAAGGCTCCTTACTCAGTGCCTTGAAGACAACTACATCTGCGGGCTTCTAAGATAAGGTGACCAGATGTCCCGCTTTGAACAGTTTTCCCCGGGTCCCGCAGTGTTTTTAAAAAGTCCTGATTTTTGGAAAGAATGCACGACAAGGTAGGGTATACGGTTTTTGGCTGCCATGTGGCTGTTTCGCCAGGATATGAGTTTTATCAATGGTGTCCCACTTTACCAATGTTAAAATCTGGTCACCTTATTCTAAGACAATACTAAGCTCTACCAGAGTGTAAAGCGTCATCTGTTCCTGTAGAGTTGCTGGCGGTTTTCTGCTGACAGCCTGGCAATTAGTAAACCCAGTCTACCACCAGGGATCCTATTCACTGGTGGAGAGTGAGGTTTTGTTTAGGTGATAATTGTATTTCTATGACCTACTTCTCAAAGCCGCCCGCAAGTTCTCTGTAGACCATGTGTATTGTTATGTGCTGTAAATGTATACCTGAATATTATAGAGGATACAGGGGAGCAATGTTATGAAAACTTTTTAGCTGTAACCAAACTCTATGAGGGAGTGACTATAGTCTCTTGGAGGAATCCAACATCATTGGCATAACATAGTCCATGGACAGTGTTCTGAATCCTATGGTAAAAATAGGAACGAAATATGAAGGGTGCTATTAACTGGTGGGGATTTTGTTATCATTGTCACAGAACATGTGGAAATTACTGAATGGAAAACCAATTTGCTCTGTAAAGAAGTTTTTAATAAAGTTCTTTGTAGTGATAATTACATCACTCTGAGTAAAAGAGCAATGATAAAATGCAAGATACTTGGCATTTAGAATAAATATGGAGAGATAGATAGATACGTGGGCATACTTAAAAAACTAATATTCGTTATATTACAGATGGAGTCTGCACGCAAGGCATGGGAGAATTCTCCAAACGTGCGGGAAAAGGCATCTCCAGTAACTTCCACAGCACCTCCCATCGCAAGTGGAGTCAGTAGTGCCAGTGGACAAAGCACTAATTATAATTCATTCTCCAGTGCATCAGTGCCTCAGATTCCTGTGGCCTCGGTCACTCCTACAACGTCATTATCAGGTACAAGATTTTTATAGCTTGCCTTTAAATTGCCTGAATTATTGAGAATTTCTTGGAATTTTCTCCTGTCTACTATGCCACAAAAAACTACCAATTATAAAAGTTATGAGTCTATTGTCACCTGTTTTATAATCCATCACTCTCACCTCCTTTTAAGATTTTGGCTGGCAGTGCTAGTTTTGAGGATCAGTTGTGCAGAAGTTGCTTTGAATAATAGATGAAGTCAGAGTTGTGTCTTAAAACAAACCCAGACATTATTACATACAATTGCATTAAAATTTCAAATCTAACAGCACTGCTGTAGAAAAGTCTTTCAACTATATCAACTGAATTTTATTATACCCGTGCCTGGCCTTTAGTAGGTATTCATATATTTGTTGATAAATGAATGGAAAATTGAAACTAGACTATAATAGCTGTGTTATTCCTATTCCGTCTCCTTACGTTGTGTCTTATTTTTCCCCCTTTTAAATACAAATCTGTTGTTTATATATTTCTTAGATTTTATATTCTTATCTACATTGGTGACAGATTTGGGGCTTTAATCCAAATCTAAGTATATGATAATCATAAATGGGTATGAAGATTATTTTTGTTTCCAGTTGCTGTTTTGAACAATATTTTTTAATATACTGTGTTTCATTCCTCCCCCAAATATAGGAGCTGGTACATACACTACCTCTTCTTTGAGTACAAAATCTACAACCACATCTGACCCGCCTAACATTTGTAAAGTGAAGCCCCAGCAGTTACAGACCAGCAGCCTGCCTTCTGCAAGTCATTTTTCACAGTTAAGCTGCATGCCTTCCCTTATTGCTCAGCAACAACAGAGTCCACAGGTCTACGTGTCTCAGTCTGCAGCAGGTAATAATTAGAAAAGGAAGACTCTTTAAGTGCTTCCTGCATGTTACTAAGTTTTAACCTTTTGAATTTAAATTTACTTTTCATTTACTTTACAAATTTCATATAGTATTAAATGCTCTCTCTTTGCCACACTTTATAGGCCACAAAATAGCTATATAATAGTTAGAAATCTGGAATGATATGCCATCCATTCTTTTTTCCATCATCATGAAGTTCTTCTAAAATACTGGATAAATTACAATAGGTAGACTTAAAAGTGGAGTAGTTATGCTATTTTTACAGATAGGCTCACTTTTTTATTTTAACCATATGAAATATTACCGACTTATACCATCGGTGGTATAAGACTAAGCTGGGGCTGCGGAACAAACAGCAGTTTGAACCAAACAGTCGCACAGGAAGATGAGACATTCTCCTCTAGATCCATAAAGCTCTGTGACCCCAGACACGCTATGGAAGCATTCTACTTTTGGTCTGGCAGTGGGTAAATAAGCCCATTTGTACTCTCACAAGCTCTAGATATACAGCTGTTGAATTTATGTATACCTATATCTTAGGAGGTTTGCAGTTTTCATTTTTCCATGGCTGTATTTATTTTCAAATGGCACCATGGTTAAAGCACTAGAATTCGAACGGAAAGGTCAGCAATTCAAATCCACCAACCTCTCAGGGAGAGGAAGATGTGGCAGTCCTGGGAGGTCCCCTCTGTTCTGTAGGTCAAAGTGTGAGTTGGAATCAACTGTGGCAGTGGGGGATTGTGCATTAATTTTAATCTCAAAGGTTTCCATGCTATCTGACTGTGGAAAACTCCATTGGAAATGTCTATAAACTGTTAGTTTTTGTGTGCTCTTTTGAAAATTCCGACACTTAACTGTTTGTCCTCCTTGGGGCCCAGTAACCCAAATCCCAGCTTTCTACATGGACACAAGTCATTTATTCAATACCCAGCATGCACGATTGGCTCCACCATCCTTGGCTCCGCAGCAAGGCTTCCAACCAGGTCTTTCTCAGGTAATTATCAAAACTTGTGTATCTGCTCCAATTTCTCTGCATGTATATGATTGTAGTAGTCATTTTGGATTGCAGATAGATCATCCATGATTACCTTGATGTGGTGGTATTAGCAGAATGAAAAGGTCTTCCAAAATTTACAAAGTTAATGATCAACACTGCAGCACAAGTAATGAGTTGAAAAGTTAGATATTTACATTTTAAAGGGGAGCCTGATACATGGCATTAATTTCTATTCTTTTCATGAGAAAACTTTGTTTTCTCATGTAATTTGATTGTTTGGTGTTATGTTTTGCATTACAGCCGACTTCAGTCCAGCAGATCCCCATCCCTATTTATGCACCATTGCAAGGACAACATCAAGCTCAACTGAGTCTAGGAGCTGGGCCTGCTGTTTCCCAAGCTCAGGAATTATTCAGTTCTTCACTTCAACCATATAGGTAATTGTTTTAAAATTACCTTTATAATGTTGAAAACAAGATAATATGTAGCCTTCTTGCTATGATACCTGCTGTTCCTCCCACCCCCACCCCACCCCCCAAAAAAAGTTTGGATGATTCTGTTATAAAATAGATTAAATAACATAGCATAATGTATTTGTCATTTATTCCAGTCTCTGTTTGTTTCATCCACCTTTATTGAATCAAGTCGGACCTCAGAGTTTCTCGAAGGGGCAACAACCCCACAACAAGTACAATTTGTAAGAAATAGTTGCAAGTCTACATGCTGTCTGGCTGCTCCAAACCCATTGCCTTCCAGGCTATTTCGAGTCATAGCAACCCTGGAAGACAGAACTGCCTCATGAGCTTGCAAAGGCCACACACCTTTCTCCCATGAAATGGCTGAGCTGAGCTAACTGAAAGGTCAGTTAGCTAACTGACCTTTCAGTTAGCAGCTGAGTCTTTTAACCCGTTGTGTTGTGCTCCCAGGGCTCCGTAACAAGAAGCCGTCATGGTAGATAGTGGGTTAAGCAGTGGCCTGCTTAATACCACTCACTCTGTAGGTAAAAGAAGAGACTGTCTGTTGCCACAAAGATTGACTGTCACAGAACCCAGTGAGCAGTGAGTTCTTGCTAAGAGCCGGAGCACGGCAAGCTAGCTGCTGTACATTAGTGGGTAGAATATAGTAAAAGAGAGTTGTAGCGTGACAAAGAATGGCACTGAGGGAGATCATGTATGCCAGGTGTCCTGTGTAGTGTAGAGAAAGCACCCATCCTTTTTGAATGATTGACTGAGACTCATGATAAATTACTAGTAAATGATGACAACTGTTCCTTACTGAACTTTGCTTTTATATGATAGGTGTTTTTCAACCTCTGGTGGCACAGTGGGTTAATTATTGGAATGCTAACTACGAACATTACCCCTTATCTTTGTAATGCAAACCTTTTGAGTTACTAATTAATAATGTTTTTCTTAGCCACGGGAGATGAAATAGTAAGACACTCTCATCCTCTGTATGTTATTCTCATTTTAACATTCTTCTTGGAAGGTGTAACTTCACAACTGGTCAGATTGTTTAGAAATAGGACATAAGTCACATGCCTAATTTAAAATTCTTTAGTATCTAAAATACTGTGAAACAGGTGAAATTAATTTTACTCATATCTATTTAAGGTAATCTAATATTTTTGTTAAGTAAAGTTAGTTAAATGACTAAATATTTAGCTAAGAATGAAAATATTATAATTTTAACATATTGGAAATATCAATAACATGTAAATATTGTGAGGATAGATTATGGCCCTGGATTACCACTCTAATTTAATAGCTTTTATTCCTGCTGCATGGGTCAGTCTTTTAAAGACCTAATGTTATATATTGATAATGGTCTTTTTTGTCAACACTGCGTGGATATATTTGTTCTTTATTTGTTTTTAAAGTGTATATTTGAGCCCTCAACTCATGCAATAATAAGGCAGGCTGGCCTTCCTGGGCAATTCTGATGTATAGCCACAATAGAAACCTAATTTAAGATACTCATAATTTCCAGATTCCAAATGCAAGTGACTTCTAACACATACTTTTTCTCTTGCATACTTATGTAGATCTCAACCAACCTTTATGCAAAGCAGTCTGTCCCAGCCATCTATGGTTCTGTCTGGAACTGCCATTCATAATTTTCCAGCAGTCCAACACCAGGAACTCGCCAAGGCACAATCCGGTCTTGCCTTTCAACAAACTTCAAACACTCAGCCTATTCCAATCTTGTACGAACATCAGCTGAGTCAGGCGTCAGGACTAGGAGGTTCCCAACTAATTGACACGCATATCCTCCAGGTAAGCACTGGCTTTATTTTCCTGTGCCTCAGATTCTTTTACGGAAAAATGCTTTGAAGTAGAATTGGTGACACGGGAAAATCATAGTTTGGGGTTTTTTTAATATTAAGATTGGTAGAGATTGCTTTAAAGTTAACCTTGATCTCCGTGTTGAAAAGTGTTTCGATCTTACTGCTATTTTCTTTCAAAATTCATTCTAGGCTAGAGCAAATCTTACCCAGGCTTCAAATCTATATTCTGGACAAGTACAACAGCCTGGTCAGACAAATTTTTATAACACTGCCCAGTCACCGAGTGCTCTCCAGCAGGTAAACTATGGCATGGTAAATTTCCTCAATTTTCTTCTTCTTTTTATAGCTTTTGTTATTTGAGGATTTCAATAATACCAAGTTTGGGGTAGTGGTTTTCCACACTCTTCTCTGAGGTGCCCTAGAAATTTCATGGAGACGTGAGGTGCTTCATTCCCACAATAAAATACCTGTCTCACCACTCAACTCCCACTTTAGTCGTTCAAGTTTTACCCTTTTTAGGGTAGACTTAGCCAACATCTAAACGCGCCTTTTAATATAGCGTTCTGTAAATATAAATATAAGCGTTTCGAAGCTTTTTATCCAAAATATAGTTAACATCTAAGCATAATAAGTACGCTACCCATTAGCACATGTGTGACAGAGTTTGAATAGCAGCCACTTACTCTTATATGCGTGAGTGTAATAATTTTAGTGGGAAATGTCTGTGCTTTTTAAAATAGCGCCTCCTGTAGCAGAGGCGTTAATCCCCCACTCATTAAATTTGGAGACCTAGAGGGGAGAAGCCTTCGGTCATTTCTCTGGTTGTGATTTTGAGTGCCAGTTCATAAGTAGATTTATTCTATGGCCATTCAGATGAAATACTGGGGCTGTGTGGAAACGAAGAAGTTCTTTTTCTTGTTTTGTAAAAGCTCGTTTTACTGAGACTTTGAAAGCACTGTAAAATGCCTAAGAGTGTGTCGCTAGTCTTAAGTTGTATCCCAGTATTAACTCAATGATAGTCAAGACTGCTTTGGTTTTGTGGTTTCTTCACTCAGGTAGCACTGCCCTGCTTTGTTGTAGGCAGAGGTAGTAAGGAAGCGACAGCTTTCCAATAGGATAATGTAGTAGATTGACACATATGGATTACTTAAGCGCTGTATGTATATGTAGTTGATAGGGATATGAATAGAATAGATAAAGGCAAATTGCTGACGTTTTGTTTGCTTGTATTCTAGGTTACAGTACCTTTGCCAGGCTCCCAGCTTTCCTTGCCTAATTTTGGATCAACAGGGCAACCTCTAATTGCTTTGCCTCAGACTCTTCAGCCCCCATTACAGCATACCACTGCGCAGGCTCAGGCCCAGAGCCTGAGTCGTCCTGCGCCAGTAAGCCAGCCTTTCAGAGGATTAATCCCTGCAGGGACTCAGCATAGCATGATCGCAACTACAGGAAAAGTAAGTGCAAAAGAAAAGGCACAGTTTACTCAGACCACATGTGCAAATGCAGGCTTTGTGTGTAGTCGGCAAAAATAGATGTCTTCCCGCTTTCCAAGGTAATGTAAAGCGCGATACATTTAGTCTTTTCCTATGTATCCTTTGTCATTTGATTCCTAGTTTTTACCTAATGAGAAGTAAATCACAGTTTCTGTACAGCTATTGGATTTACTTTGCGCCCTAGTGGCGTAGTGGTTATGTGTACTGGCTGCTGATCTCAAGGTCGGATGTCAGAACCCACAGTCCGCCGAAGGAGAAAAGCAATCTCAAAGCCACAGGGGCCGTTCTCCCCTCCGAGTCAGAATCAACTTCATGGCAATGACTTTTGGTTTTAGACAAATTTGGCCAGATTTTTTGATATTTGAAACCTGGTTCTATTGAAATTTTATAGTATTTGAAACCTATTTATTGAATGCGTGTACTAAGATTTTTCTCTTCTTTATTAGATTAAGCCTTCATTTTTTTATCAAACACAATGCTATGTTACAGGGTTTAAGGAACATTACATTTATGCTTTTTCTCAGATGTCAGAAATGGAACTAAAAGCCTTTGGAAGTAGCATTGATATTAAACCAGGCACACCGCCAATCAGCGGGAGAAGCACCACACCAACATCCAGTCCCTTCCGGTAAAACAGGCACTTATACTTGCTTACATTGATCACCACTGTTTGAGAGATAATAATATGTTACTGTGGAGAGCACAAAATTAATTTTAAGACCTTGTTTGTCTAAAGTGTTTTTAAATTTCTTAACAATTTTTAAGAAAATTCTTGTGCTATAGGGCAAATCTCGCTAGTCTCCCTTTCCCACTTTTGCTCCTCCCTTGTCTCCACCACCATGTTTGGTAACTCCAAGTAGTACATTATTGTTAGTTCCAAAATATCAGAGCAGCGTGTGGGATTTCTGTGGTATTGGTGTACTGACTAATGGTGGCTTTTCTCCCAGGGCTGCTTCCACGAGTCCGAACAGTCAGTCCAGCAAAATGAGCAGCATTGTCTATCAGAAGCAGTTCCAGGCAGCTCCTGCCACTGTGAGAATGACACAGCCGTTCCCTACACAGTTTGCACCCCAGGTGGGCAGATATAAGTGAGACCGAGTATTATTTGTTTGCAAATTGCTGTTAATCTGGCTAATTTTATAATAATCTTGCCACATAGTAAGCCAGTTTTTAAGGCATAGTTTTCATGAGAAACTGTTTTTGACTAGTCGCAGGTAGTAGTTGTATATTTCTAAAACAGACGATATATAAAGAAATAGTCAAAAGATTCCCCACACAGCTCTGATAGTTCATTTCAGCCCTGGTCCTTTTTTAACGGTTTTGAAGAAGCTGACTTTTCAGAGAAGGGTCCCAGTGCTTGATGTTTTCTAGTTTTGAAGCCTTTCTTTCTTTCACTCTTGTAAGAAACCTATGTGCCTTTGCAGTGTGGTAATAATAAGCAAGGTGGTTCCTCTTCCTTTTGCTGATCATATTAAAGGACTAACTTGAATTTGATAAGAACTCTCATAAATTAGAATTGGCTCCTGAGGAAACACTTTTTGTTGAACTAGTATTCTTTAGTTAATCTTAGTGTGTTTTATATAGCTGAATACTTTTATGCAAAAATCATCTTTTAAAAAAAAAAAAAAACACTGCCCCCCTTCAGATGCTAGACTCAAGTAAAAGGCTATCCATAACATGCTCTGCCTAATTTTCTGTTAGACTCGCCGAGCATGGTCTGTTTTCTCGGTGTCTGCAGTTGGAAGGGCACCGCCCATGCACTTGTTTCAGTGGCAGGCCGGGGACAGGTTTACTCTGAATAAGCCAACCTGGTTTCGTTGGCTTTTTTTTTTTTTTTAACAGTTCATTGTTGTATGTTTTGTTTTTTCACTCAGATTCTCTCTCAGCCTAACCTGGTCCCTCCATTGATAAGAGCCCCACATACTAACACCTTCCCAGCGCCTGTTCAGAGGCCACCAATGGCACTGGCCAGTCACATGCCTCCTCCGCTGACCACAGGCCTCATGAGCCATGCTCGGTTGCCACATGTAGCCAGGGGTCCTTGTGGATCACTCTCTGGAGTCAGAGGTAATCAGGCCCAGGCTGCGTTGAAGGCTGAACAAGACATGAAGGTTAGTACAGTGTTAAACAGCCAACAGAGCAAGTCTGTCTCTGAACCATGTCTTAAGATGCCTCTGGACCCATAACCATACATCCAGGCATTCATTGTCATAGCAGACCTAACGGAGATAACTACGGTTTTTTGTGTTTTTTCTTGTTTTTTTTTTTCCCTTCTGCCACCCCTTCCTGTTTTTTCCCCTCCCTCCCACCTACCCTTTCCTTTTTTGTTTCTTTGTTTTTTCCCATTTTGTGATTATAGTCCGCAAGAAATTAACAGTTTAAATTCTATGGCCAAATAAATTGCCTTATAAATATTTGAGGGAGATCTGAGTTTAGATGCTTCCCCTTTTTTTGTTTGGAAGTAACATGACTTGAAGGCATTCCAGTTTTTCTCTCTCTTCTCCTCCCCCCCCCCCTTGATTTTGCTCTGCTTTTTTGTTTTCCCCCACCTCCTCCACCCTCTACTTGAATGTATGTTGTGATAGTGTCAGAACTCTGAAATGGGTTAAATGTGTTACCAATCTTGAATTTTCTTCCCTGATGAATCATCAAGTACAGTTTTCTCAGACGGTCTTCCTTCCTGCTTTTTGTTTGCCGCCTGCGGTGGCTGTGTTCCACAATGAACTCGGCAGTACGAGGTGAAGACCTCAAAGAAAAGCACTTTGGGATCCTTCATGATGAAAGGCACTGAGGTTTACTAGTGTCGAAGAGTGCCTAGGAGTCTGTGTGGGGACAGTTTTTAAGTTTTCCAGCATAAACTTAACCTGTCTGCCTATACAGCCAGCTGAATCCATTCGGTTTAACGTGTACTTAGACTTGACTTTAGAGATCTAACATTGCCTGTTTCGCAACTACATACATATGTCAATTAGGTCAACCTGAAACAAAACGTGTTAGCTCTCAAAAGGGAAAGGTCCATAGTAATGTTTTACTCTGAATTAGAAACAGGCTCGTGATATCCTGTTATCTGGTTGTCTGTTTAAAATTTCCTCCTGGGCTGACAGCCTTGTGTTTCTGATCTTGAGTAATCAAATTTAAAAGACTACTGTGAAGTAAAACTTATATTAAGCATTGCCTGCTTTTATTAGGCTACCTGGCCAGGACTTCCCTTCTGTTCAGAAATACTAAAAATATCAATGTGTGTAGATACCTGTGTAAACTATTTGTTGTAGTCATCTTAATTCAGGGTGGAGGAGGGTGCAAGTTTCTGTGAAATTACTTCCAATCTTTGGATAGTACAGGTTACCTGTAGAACATGAAGGGGGTTTGGTTTTGTTTTATGCAAGAACTGTAGAAACTTGAGTTAGTGACGGTGCTATAGGTTACAGGTTGACGTAAGTATGTATATTCTTTGGGACACATAGTCAATACAACTAAGAAAATATCAATTTTACCAGCTCAGAATGTGGTAGGAGCTATCAGAACTTAGTGATCGGTGAAGTTATAGTTACTAATTTCTGATGCTCTTCCCCTGCAGAAGAGAGCTGTGGGAAGAGGACTCAGCCACAAGACATTTGGTCCTAGGTGTTGGTAATGCCACAATATAAGTGCTTCCTTTTCATTTTATTGTAGACCAAATACTGATAACTAGAAGTTTTAAAGTGTTACATAATATGTTTTCAAATTATCAAACAGGCTTCCTCAATAGAATTTTGTATCAATAGTCTGTGTTTCAGGGGGAAAAATACCAACAGCAATTTCTGTTTAATTATTCCATAAGAGGGCAAACCTTTAAAAAAGATGGTGGGAGGTGGTCCTGTTATTTTCAGATGTTTAAAAAAAATTCACATGGAATATTTTCATAGATAGGAAGAAATCCATGCATTAAAAGTTTGAAAGATCAGTGAGGTACTTTTCTTTGGGCCAATCCAAGGTGGGAAAAACTGATTTGTGATTGGCAAAATTTGAACTGAGATTGATTGACAGGCTTTGGTAATGCTGCAGCGTTTTCAGTTACTCTTTTTTTTATTTTTTAAGGCAAAACAGAGAGCAGAGGTTCTTCAGTCCACACAACGGTTCTTCTCTGAACAGCAACAGAGCAAACAAATAGGAGGCAAAGCCCAGAAAGTGGACAGTGATTCAAGCAAACCTCCTGAAACACTGACCGACCCTCCTGGTGTCTGTCAGGAAAAAGCAGAAGAAAAGCCACCCCCTACACCCACCATGGCCACCAAACCTGTTAGAACTGGACCAATCAAACCTCAGGCAATCAAAACTGAAGAAACAAAATCATAAGGCTATGGTGTATTGCAGGGGATGGGGGAGGGGAGGGGAGGGGGGTGGGGAGAATGAAGTCAAATAATGCCAGCAGCGGAAGGGTTTTTGGTCTGTGACATCCTGTCTACAGCTTAGAGATGCACGAGGAATACAGGAGCAATTTACACTGACACACAGCTGCTGCACCAGTAAAAATGAGGCTTTGCAAAGCTTGTACCTATTATATGACACCCGCTCTGTTGGTGGCCAAGCATCTCCGATCAGAATTTATTTGCAAATATGTGCACACATTCTTTGAGTGCATATAGTTTCGAACTAAAATCCTAATGGTTCAGATGAAACACCAAAGCGTGAGGAACGTAACACTGCAGAGAAACAGCACAGGCTGAGCAGTATGGTGGTCCTGGCTCCGACGTCAGGAGGTGGTTTCTTGACCGTCCTTGTGTTCCCTGGGTATGGTTATGGTGTTTGTAGGCTTGGTGGTAAAGAACCGAAGATAAACTGGTGCTGGAGAGAGGAGCCTTATTGTTTATTATGGCAGCTTGCTGTTTTTATAACATGGTGATTGAGTTGAACACAACCAAAGTGCGGTAACTGATCTCCCCTTCTTCCTGGATGAGTGGCCATGATAAAGTGTTGATGTCAGCACACTTGAACGTGTCCCGATAATGTTTGGCCCAGAGCGATGAAGTGCCACTCGGCATCTTTTCTTCCATGGCGCTCTTGCCCTGCAGCCGTCCGTCACAGAGTTGGCAAAATGATGGTTGGGTCGAGTGTGCTGCTTGCCTCCACTTGGTCATGCCTCGTTGGTTCCAGTGGTTTTGTTTTGGTTGTTTGTTTTTGAATGGCTTTCAGCTGGTGTTCCTGAGCGAGCAGTGAGTACTGAGAGCTGTGCCACCAGTGACAGGAACTCCCGTCTAAGAAGGTGCATTTCTGTCCCAGAGCTGTGTCACCCCATCCATGGGCCCTCTGCTGGAAAAGTAGAATCAAGTCTCAAATAAGGCCTTTTTAATTGTATCCTCTAGTATGATAGATGTAGGACCGTACTGTATCATACCTCTGTGAATGTAAAATATCTTGTACCTGCTTTATGACATGTAATAGTGACTGTGCTATATCAGAGCTGTTTTTAATGATGTTATTCTAGAATGTTTTCTTTCCAATGATGATTGAGAAGCTAATTAAAAAAAAAAATGGTGCCAGGTACCACAACAGTTAAGAACTTTGCTGTTTTCTGAGTTTTTGTTTTGT